ATCATACGATGCCTAGAGGAATGGGACGCCGAACTACGAAGCGTCGAGAAATTCGAGATCCGGTCTGACTATAAGAACCTCGAATACTTCATGACCGTACGAAAACTAACTGAGAGACAAATACGTTAGTCCCTCATCCTATCGAGATATAACTTCATAATTACGTACGTCCCCGGGAAGCAGAACATTCGAGTAGATGCCCTCTCTCGAAGAGAGCAGGATATACCTCAGGACCAAGAGGACGAGAGACTTTAATATCGTACGACCCGCCTTATTATACCTGAGATGCTGGACGGGCGGGGATCCCAGGCGCTACAGGTAAATGTCACATCAACGGAAGAACCATCGATCGAGGAATAATGGAGAATAGCTCAACGGGACGACGAGACCTACCAGGAGGCTACTGAGTCTATACGAAGAGGAGCCCGTACGTTCCCCTCCGGCCTAGGCCTAAAGGTATCGATCTCAGAATGCTCCCTTAATGAGGAAGGGCAGCTACTATTCCGAGGTCGGCGCTGGGTACCTGAATTAGAGGCTCTCCGTACGGCGATCATCCAACAGGTTCACGACTCAATGATTACAGGCCATCCTAGCCGGGAAGGTACGGTAGTAATGATGGCAAGATAGTTCTTCTGGCTAAATATACTACAAGACATTCGAAGGTTCGTACGGAACTACGATGTATACGGACGAATGAAGGCCTGGAAGGAACGAAAGCAGGGATTCCTTAAGCCTCTCCCGATCCCCGAGCGACTATAGAGAGAAGTATCAGTCGATTTCATTATAGAACTCCCAGAGAGCCAGGGCTGTACGAACCTCATGGTCATTACAGACCGATTAGGAAAAGGAGTCTTACTGGAACCATTACGTACGATCGACTCAAAGGACGTGGCGAGGATCTTCCTACGGACATTCTATCGTCAACATGGACTACCATCAGCTATTATCTTAGATCGTGGGCCTTAGTTCGTGAGTGCACTATGGAAAAGGGTCTGCTAACTCCTGAATATCGTACGACGACTATCGACGGCCTACCACCCGGAGACAGACGGCTCTACTAAGCGAATGAACTAAACGGTTGAAACGTACCTTCGTACGTTTGTAAATGGAAAACAGGACGATTAGGCGGAACTCCTACCTATGGTAGAACTAGCTATCAATAATCGCGACGTACACTCGATAGGAGTAAGCCCCTTCTTCCTCCTATACGGATACTACGTTGAACCGCTTCAGCTATAGGAGCCCCTCCGTATAACGGAGACTCCTCGAGGGCCTATATAACACGTAGACCTTATCGTATAACGACTCCGAGAAGCGAGGAACTAGGCGTAATCTTCAATAGCTATCGCGCAATAAGAACAGGAAGAGAGAACGAACCGATCACGACAGCAAGCGCCGCAGTTCCGAGTCGGCGATAAGGTATAGCTGAACTTAAGGAACGTACGGACGACGCGTACGAGTAAGAAACTGGACTGGAAGAACGCGAAGTATACCGTTACGGAGGTAATAGGTTCTCATAGCTACCGTCTAAATACCCCATCGGGTATTCACAATGTCTTCCACTTAGACCTCCTCCGTACGGCATCAACAGACCCTCTTGACTCGTAAAGAACGGACGATAGTCAGCCTACGCCCGTGATAGTTGGAAACGACGAAGAATACGAAGTGGAAGCGATCCTGAAAGATAGGGTCGTACGAAGAGGAAGAGGTTCTCGGCAGTAATACCTAGTGAAATGGACTGGGTACGCTAAGCTAACATAGGAACTAGCCGATGCACTATAAGACTCCGCCGCGTTAGATGTATACGAGGCCCTCCGGGCCAGTGCCGAAGGAGAAGGGGGGGGTGTTGTGATGGGTTGAACCTAGAAGGAGGCTCGGTTCTGACGAACCAGCGTTAAGACTAACGACAGGACTAACGCCACCTCCTGATTAGCTAAATTTACCTGTACATTGTACAGGTAAAATGCCGCCTCCTGATTAGACGAGGCACGTACCGTACAAGGGATACCGAATCCTAGTAAACTGAGACACCGTACGCAAGGGAAGGTAAGGAAGAGAGATAAAAGGTAAGGGAAACGTAAGGCGTGTACGAAAGAGGAAGGACAAGGGAGAAAGGGGAAGATAATGAGTATCCCTTACGGAAGAGCGTACGATATAAGGAGAGAAGGAGGGGACATTATTCCTCCTTCTCTCTCCTCAGATTTATCCTCCTTGTTACTAGGTTGGCTAGCTAGTTACAGAACTCTTTCCAAACCCTCACAGGTATAGTGTCAGAGCTACTTCCTATATAGCCTAACGGGGTTAGGCTTCCTTAGTTATAGTTCCTTTATTACATGAGCTAGGTCGAGAGTACGTAAGGTATAAGTAGTCGAGTGACTTTAGAATAGTATAGTGAAGTAGATGTCATAAGTTAGCTACGAGAGAGTATAACTATGAAAGGGTAATGAGCGTAGCTATATACTTATAAGGCGCATCCCGAATAGGTAACTAGGAATGGTATGCCGATATGTTGATATGGTCCATACTAACATACTACTATATCATAAGTTTCCTCTTTTAGTAGTTACGTGCGGCACGTGACCTAGCCTTACGTTTATTAGGCTGCCCCGACCCGGTAGACCTGCCTCCGGGCGTCCCGCGCTCCAGGTCATATGAAGGCCGTTTCTAACATATAGGTATTCCTTAATAGTATATCTTAACTAAAACTTAAAGTATAAGGGAAGGAAGCTTCCCTTAGGCGGTGAGTATACAGTACTTAATTAATAGGGGGTTGTCACGTGCAAGTTATGCTTGGCGGTTCGTGATAAACATCCTCTCCCTCTCTTCTTATATCGTACGCTCCTTCGTAAGGGGTACGTAATGTCTTCCCCTTTCTCCCTTATCCTTCCCCTTCCGTATACGCCTTACGTTTCCCTTACCTTTATCTCTCTTCCTTACCTTCCCTTACGTACGGTATCTTAGTTACTAGGATTTAGTATCCATTATCCGTACGTACCTCGTCTAATTAGGAGGCTGTATTTATATAGGTAAATTTAGCTAATTAGGAGGTGGCGTTAGTCCTAACGTTAGTCTTAGCGCTGGTTCGTTAGAACCGAGCCTTCTCTTAGGTTTAACCCATCACATTACTAAAGGCCGCGTAGGAGTATATTTCTCCACTCTGAGTAGCATACTCCTCTCGTGCGGTTCATTTCGGCTCCCTACGCTGTTTGTGATAAAGCCTAACACTGTTAGGTTATATAGGAAGCAGCTCTAACACACTCCTCTTCCCTCTCTTAGATAGTTAAGTTTTACTAAGTCTTCTATAGTCGAATAAGTTATATTCATTAGCTCGATCCTGTAATAAGCCTGTCTATTACCTATCTAGGTAATCCTCCGAGTCCTCCGAAAAATAAGGAGAGAGGGGGGGTATTCTTCCTCCTTCTTACTCTCCTTAGATATATCCTCCTTATCACTAGGTTAGCTAGCTAGTTATAGAACTATTACGGTTCCGTCAAGACCTAGTTAGAACGTGACTATTTCGCGCGCCCCCTACGACTATTACCTCGTTATAGGCGGACTAACTCTCAGATAGACTCTCCTTGACTTCGTATTCATGTTATTTGTGCTGTAAAACTTTGTGCTGTACTGGCGCCATGACAAGAACTCTGTCCAGACCCTCACAGTATTCGTGTTATTAGTGCTGTACACTTATGCTATGCAGCGCCGTGACAATTCTACTACTCGGTAGGTCCTGGGGCCCTGTCAGACTATATACTATCGAATATTTACAGGGGCGTTACTAGCGCCGTTCGGAGGTCCTTGGTTTAGGACCATCAAGGCGGTAACGTGACCGTCATTACATTGCCTTGGCAATCCTGTCAAGTCACATGGAGGTGTGGCGGTCGACCATTGCCAAGAGTTGATTTCTGCCAAGCCGCTAGCAAATGTGGCCTCACCAAACCATTTAAAAACTGGTTCGGTGCTCCTCAAGCAAAGCTTTTCTTTCCCTTTTCTTTCCTCAGCTCTGTGAGTACCACCAAATTGCATCCTGGGGTTTGACTGTACTGATGCTTCTCAGCTTTGCCAACTGGCTTAGATCAAGTGTAGTATCTGTTCTTTTCAGTTTAATCGTGAGTGCTGTTCTCTTGGAATTCCATTGAATTGGTGCTAACTTAGACAGTCTGAAATGTGAGCAATCCGCCACTCTCCAATGTCTTTTGACGCGTGCTGACTGTCACCAGGTCACTACGGTGACAAACATTGATTAAATTTATTTTTGCACCTCGCTTGAGTCATTCTGTGCTTGCACAGAGGTCTCTCGCACTGTGTCCGAGGCCTTACACTGCCGCCTTGTGACGCGAATTACCCTTTTCATCACTGTGTTTGCCTAGTGCAAGACTTTGGAGAAGAGTCCAGAGTTTGGGACTCTGATATAGGAACTGGGCGTAGTAACAGCTCGTCAGGGATTCCCTCGGTAGGCCCCCGAAAGACGCAGCCTGACGCTACGAGGCACACATCTTGATAAATCGAGTAATGTAGTATGTTCAGGACTGAGCAGAATAAAGGAAGCACAATAAACTCGCGCACAAGGTAGAGACTAAGCACAAGACCTGAGAGTCCACGCAATCCAACGTACCTCGGACAGGGCGGCGAGCCAGATAGCTAGCGACAGCACTCAGCTTTTTCTTTCCGTACAACCCAACCACCCAAGGCATGCCATGTTCATAAGTGATCACAAAGCCAACATTCTGTCATAGCATGATGGCTGCCGATACGACCATGACTACCAGCGCGGCTTCGGCTCCCTTCCCAAACGTTGACCCCGCCATCTTCAGCTCCCTTCAAGCGAAAATAGACAATGATACCGCGATCCGCGACGAACTCAAGAGTATTGTCGAAGCGCTGTCGAAGCAGGGAAGAGTAACGCAGTCGATCCTCTCTCGCATCCACAACACGCCTACTGAGGACCTCGCAGAATCTGTCCTGGCGCCTTGTTCTGAATCCCTCAAAGAGCAGGCGGCTACGGTGAAAGACTTAGCGCAGGCTGCTTCGAAGTATCCCTTCTACAAATGGAATTCAATATGGCAGCGAGAGATTCAAAATGTGGTCAGCAACATACAAATGTGCGAGTGGCTCAAGAGCGGAAATCTCGTCACTCTGGAGGATGTCGGGCACAGACTTGAAGGTATTTTTTAAGTCTGGCTTTGCTTCGGTCAAAATTGCTAATTACAGCTACAGTACCGGTCAACCTGAAAGACGAAGATACCTTCCATGTCACGATCGAAGACTACCTGCTCGCCCTCACCTACATGATCGAAGAGCTTGCGCGCCTTGCCCCTAACGCAGTCACACTTACCGACTACGCTCGCCCGTTACAAATTTCGAAGTTTATTAAAGACGTCCATGCAGGCTTTCAGCTGCTGAACCTCAAAAACGATACCCTTCGGCGAAGGGTAGATGGCCTAAAATACAGTGTGAAGAAGGTGGAAGATGTAGTATATGATCTGAGTCTGAGAGGATTGATTCCAAAACACTGAGCATGCGCAAGTTGATGGCATTGTGGCCCGCCGCCAGAGGCACGTGTACGTTCCCATGAAAACATACCTTGTTCTATGGCTATGTTCTTTCGCACAGATATCAACAAAGACTTGATCACGATGGTTGTCCAGGCGGCTAGGAGTTACCATAAGGTTGGTTTCGATTGAACAAGTACGGGCATGTGAGGGCTAAGCACGACTTCATAGGACACAAAAATTATCCTACACAACAAAACGCGGTTGATTGTCAGACTCCCTGAGCTGCAACAGTCCACGTCGAGCTCTTTCGAGCCACGAGAATTTGAAGCTGTTTCGATACTGTATGATAGCAGCTGGCATGCCATGGACGATACAGACGATACAGACTGGAGTCCTGTGGATGGCGTCCTCTCTTCTCTGTATTAACTCTGCATGCTGTCTCGTCCTTATTTTCTGATGACAAGTTCACCCACCATCCGGCCAGTTCTGTCACCGGTGCAGTCTGACCTCACCTAGTGACCTGCGGGACGAGGCGGCTCGGTCGCCTTCTTAAACTCATCCCCATCTGTTCTCACGCTACTTTCAGCTGTCGCCGGTTCTCTCAACCCAGAAGCCGATCCTGTGCCCAGTTTCACGTTCACCCCTCCACTGCCAACGTTCACTGTGCGTTGGTCTGCTGATTGGAGATCTGCACTCGCTCCGCCCACGGGCTGATCAGGTAGAGGTAAATTCGCCTTGACGCGATCAATCTGGTCTTGCTTGGATTCTTGTTCAGAGAGGAGTTGCTGTGAGACAGGTCAGCAGACTGATAAAAGCACATCATTGGGTCGGGAACGCTGTGGACGCATACCTTCATTGCAGATGTGTCCGAGTCCTTAGGTGTCTGGCCACCATGGAATTTCGACTCCTTCGACTCCATCTTACGGACGTCCTCGCCAGTCACGTGGAATGTTTTGTCGGACATTGTCATCTTGCTTGGGCTTGGTCTTGAATCTGTGCTGATAATGACGTTTATTCAGAAATGAAGGAAGTGATAATGGTTCTGGTGGTTCAAGGTCCTTGAATTTTATTGAGGAAGAACGCAGCAAAACTCGGAGTTCTGCCTGGCTCTTTATTTGTGGCCTCGAGCATTTTGGCCATGAAGACGTCACCCATGGAGGACCAATGATGGCATAGCGATCTGCTTGCCAGATTCTCATTCTGCCATTAATCTCGAAACTTCGCGCACAGAGACATTGCGAGGATGAAATACGTCACGGCCAAATGAAGTCTAGCGCCGAGAGATGTCCAGAGGGGAAAAGCCCCGGTCCAATCACTTTGGTTCTGTAGGAAATGCGTTTTTGCCATCGAATTGTATGGGTGTTTCGTTGCGATCCGCTTCACGAGGACGGTTGCCATTTCGGAATCGTTCTGGACCATCTGTAACACGATGTTTCCTGCAGGAAATGAGGAGGTACAACAAATCTCCGAAGTCGTGGCAAACTGTTCCAAGCTGCCGCTCGATAATGACAAAAGTTGGCCAAGCAGCAGATCTTAAATTTCAAGCAAACTACCCGATTTCGAGGTCAATATCGTCGACGCAGAACTCCCAGTCTTTCCATTTGATGTTCTCGAAGTGGAACTCAGCCCACATCTCCAGTTTTGTCAAGCCCTCCCAAGTCCTCCCAGTGAATTTTTCCACTCGAACATTTAGAACATCATGAAAGCCAGCAGGGAAATCGACGCTCCAGGAGAAAGTGCTATCTTCATTCGGACGAAAGCCTTGAAGACTGATGGCCACAGAGCCGACCGGCATGTCGAGCGGTTTTATCTTCAGCCCATGGAGAGTGAAGGTCTCGGTTGAATTGTAGAGGTAAATAGAGGGCCGCTGGTCCAGTAGGTTCATGGAGCCCTGTCCGCCATTCGATAGACGGGCACTTGCGGCTCCGTACAATGCGTTGGGTTTTGAAACCGCGCAATTCAGGTCATTGGCGGAAATGATGCCTTCCAAGCTGGAGTGCGATGGTTTGAAGGCATAGAGGTCATTGAACACAAATCCCTTGTACGGTGGTATCATCTCTGCGAAGCCGTCTGGGGTCTTGATCTTGTCGAACTGCAACACGGTCAACCACCACCGGGCACAAATCGAATCTTCGAGAGAAATGGTCACGAACATTCAGCACTTGGTGTTCTTCGTCGAGTAGTACTTGCTCAGAATGAGCAGAAACGGCATTAAAGCAGAAGGCCAGGACGAAGCATACCAAAACAATGGAATGTAAGCGCAGCATGCTCTGAAAAGTCGGTTGCCTCGAGTTAGACAAACACCGCGCCACGATCGTAATGAAGGTGCCAATTAAATCGTTAAAGCGGAGATGTACCAGTGCTGTGATAAGGAATGAAAAGTGGTAGAAAAGCTGATACCAGATCATTCTTCTGTTTCAACAACCCACTTGGACTTAGAGATCCAAAAACGCCTCGACATCTCCTTGCCATGAGTAGGCCGGATTTGTATCGTCAACAAATGGACATGCGGCAAAATAATTTTGGATTTCAGGAATTGCGGGTTGTACTTTGGAAAAGTTGATTCGACACCTGCGCCCAACGTCATTTAGCTTTCCGCCTCGTATTCATCTTTCGCCCACAGCCTCTGACAGTCTTCCACAGTACCATACACAAAATAGGACTGCTAGTCTGAGAATTTGGCGGCCGTCCAGGCCGGGGAAACCGCCCTGTTTTTCTTTTCCTTTCTCTTACCAGACTCCGCTCGAGAGAGCTTCCCTACGATGCCCCGAGATCCACTCATTGGGCTTGTCGGAAAACCATCCTCTGGCAAGTCAACAACTTTGAACAGGTATGCTTCACCTCCCTGTGCTTCAATCTCGACTTACGAACCCCTCACAGTTTGACGGACGCCAGTTCGAAAGTCGGTTAGTGATGCGATAATTCTTCCCGACCAAGGTGGTGGACCAGGCTGATGATCTCTGCGCAGGCAACTTCCCGTAAGAGACGACCCCTCAGCCCAATCTAACTGCGCCTGGACTAAACCTATGTCACGTCAGTTTCACCACGATCGACCCTCAGAGAGCCGTTGGATACCTCCAAGTCGACTGTGCTTGCAAGCGACATGGCCTTGCCGAGAGATGCCGACCGAATTATGGTTCCTGCGTGGATGGCAAGAGATCAGTACCTATTGAACTCCTTGACGTTGCCGGGCTGGTTCCTGGTGCACATGAAGGCAGAGGACTTGGCAACAAGTTTCTTGACGACTTGCGCCATGCGGATGCTCTTATACATGTGGTCGATGTCAGCGGAACAACGGACGCGGACGGCAAAGCCACGCGTGGCTACGATCCGAGCGTGGACATTGAATGGCTGCGTGGTGAGATCGTTCGCTGGATCCAAGGGAATTTAATGGAGAAATGGGGAAGTATCAAACGGCGGCATCTCGCTGTGAAAGCGTCGCCAGTGGAAACCCTCCAAGCACAATTTTCAGGCTACGGTAGCACCAGCGCAGTTGTCGCTCGGTGTCTGGACAAGCTGCAGTTGAAACAACCCCTAGAGGCATGGAGCGATGAGACTATCCTCAAAGTCGTCAACGCATTCACGGACGAGAAGTTTCCAACGGTACTTGCCTTGAACAAGATCGATCATCCTGACGCAGATCGTAACATTGCCAAGATTGCAAAGCAACAACCGGCAGACCGAATTGTTCTGTGTAGCGCTATCTCAGAGGTGTTTTTGCGTCGGTTGGCGAAGCAAGGCTATATCAAGTACAAAGAAGGAGCAGAATACCTCGACACGAGGGAAGATCTGATCGAGCAGGGGGATCCGACAGGCGGAGGACTCAAAGAGATGGACGACAAGTTGAAGCAACGGATAGAGAATCTCAAGGATATGGTGCTCTATCGCTTCGGGAGCACCGGCGTCGTGCAGGTTTTGACTCGTGCAGCAGCAATGCTAGGCCTTGTGCCAGTATTCCCCGTCAAGAACATTCACACATACGGATCAGGAACAGCGGGCTCTACTGCTGTGTTTAGAGACTGCGTGCTGGTGAAAAAAGGCAGCACAGTTGCGGATGTGGCAAGAAAAGTCATGGGGGATGCTCCAATTGCATTTGTCGAAGGCGATGGAGGCAGGAGAATTGCAGAAGATTCGATAGTGGAGGTTGGGAAGAACGATATCCTGTCATTTCATGTCGGGCGATGACGATCGGGCTCTGGTTATGCGGCAAGGGACATGAACTCCAGGTACGCAGAGGAGACCGACGAGATCAAGCAATTCCATTTCCCATATTGAGTTACTATAGATCAAATGTGCGCCATAGCCAATGCCGTCTCCGTAGCCATAACATCACGCTTTTCTCGGATTCAGTGTGTTTTCTGGCCAAGTAGTTAGCAAGTCGATCCCATTGTTCATCCTCAAAAAATCATAGCAAGACAGTGGAGGATATGTGACATACTGATCCTCTTTCATCATTCATCCCAATCACCGGCTCTGGTGCTTCAGGATGCTCCTCCTTTGCCTTCTTGTTGCTGTCTCTTTCATCCCTGCGTGAAATGGCATCGCTACCTTCTTTCATCTCTTCATGATCCTTCATCCCCTGCTGTGAAGTCTCGGCTTGAACGTCATGAGCGGGACGTTTAACAGCGTGGTCACGGGCATGCCGACCGCCCCAGCCGGGAAGGGAATCGTGAGCAGCTTTGCTAGTTGTGCTATCCGTAGAAGATGGCTGGGAGTGTTGATTGGAATTGTAGAGAAACCCGAGGCTTGACAAGGGACGGGTGTTTCGGTGAGAGCAGAGGCGAGGAAGTGTACGGCCCTTGGGCAAAGTCTGTGGGAGACGATACATGGTCGATTCGAGAGGCAGTCGATGTGTAGAGGGTGGGTACCAGTCCAGCGGGTCGTGTGTTTTCTCGACTGTGTGGTCACGGTAGGGATGAGGCAGAGAAGTCACAGGTCAGTGGCGCAATAAAAGAAATCCTGCACTTACTCACATAGAAAGGTTTCAAGAATGATGCTCTCACCGCGAGACTCAAATTCGATGTCCACATTAGCTTGGTCAATTCGACACAACATTTTGGATACATGTCTTCAATGTCGAAATGATGACGACATGAGACACAGGCAAGTACATTTGCAGCCCATGGCCCCTATGGGCCAATGCGGAGCAGAAATTGGCTTCCGGACAATCTTCTTGGCACCAATGACCAGCTAGGAACAATAACAATGATTGCGGAGTACCAACGACGAGGAGTCCAAGAGGTCGAGGCTGTCGGGAGGCCGTTGTTCCTTACAACTCTCCTTGATTAGAAAAACCATTGGTACGTGCGTCGACGCAAGTGTCTGACAGAAGTAATCTCCCAATGTCGACGTCTGGACAGCACAAGCACTTTGACGGAGACGGCCCCGTCCGTCAGACAGGACGACCTCGGGTAGCCATCCAACCA